GGTACTGCCGCACAGGGCCGGTAATGCGGCACCGTTTTTGTTAGGAATGGTCGAATATGCACCAAATTCCGCCGTGGTGCAAATGAGTCGCGTGGTGCATTTTTGTTTTTTTGTTAAGAACGCCCCTCAGACATCATAGTACACCAATCAAAAACAAACAAGAGTACAATAGTACATCTTGTTGACTGTTGATGGTATACAACGTGGATCGAAAATCGCACAGCCACAAGTTTCACCATGGAGCTGTCAAGTACGAGATAGGGGTAGATGCAATCTTGTCCAAGGTAGTCAGGATCAATGGCCATTTCGTGCGGGTACGCATGACAGAAGGATCTACGAAGAGGATGATGGATTGAAGAGCAAAATTCCAGCGGGCAAGAAGGTCGTCTCTGATCGAGTTTATACCGACCAGGAATCCAACGACCATATGGATCTTTCTTGCCATGTATCGGTGATAGCCCCGAATTATTCAAGCTGAAGTTGCGACTTCGTGCATGTCATGAAAGTTTGAATGGAAGACTGAAAGATTACAGGATTCTTTCAGACGTCTTTCGGCATAATTCGGACGACCATGTCTTTGCCTTTGAATCTGTAATCGTCCAATGTGCAATGGATAATGGTCATCCTATCTTTGATGGAAGATCCTTTATGACAAGTGAAGCAAACGATGGTAATGATCTCGACATTCCAACACTGACTAGCCGAAAAGAAACAATTGTTGATATCTAATTATATAGCAATTCCACCTTTGGAATGACCTTGAAAATTTCAAGGACTGTGATTGGTAAACACAGACATTGATGGACGCCACCTTTTCTACACATTTCTAGTACTTAGGCCATTTGTGATTTCCGCGTGGGCCTTCGAGTGGACATTCGCGTGATGTCTGATTTCCACGTGGGCCTTCGAGTGGACATTCGCGTGATGTCTGATTTCTGCGTGGGCCTTCGAGTGGACATTCGCGTGATGTCTGGTTTCCGCGTGGGCCTTCGCGTGATGTCTGATTTCAGCGTGGGCCTTCGCGTGATGTCTGATCTCCTATTATTTTGTTATTGCCGAAGAATATTTATTTAACGTTGTAGGAATAAAAACGATTTCAATGAATCACAGAAAGTTGTAAAATCCATGACGTTAAGTAATTCAATGTCCACGCGAGTTGAGCAAGGCAGAACCCCTGCTACGGGGATGGTGAATTCCGCGCGTCAACCATTTTCCGTGTAAATCACGCGCTTCTGCGGGGTATCCCACAACTTTGAGGGAATTGAGTACTTTGAGTAAATTGAGGAGAAGCGACCAAACTCCTCACTTTTGGTGGCTTCTCCTCGCTTTTGCCTGAGCCAATCAGATTATTCCATTTTGTTTCTTGTTTGTTAAGTATGAGTTGCTCTTTTTCCTCCACGCGATCACAAATGACTTATGAGGGTCTTTCTGTTTTCCAACAATGACAAAAATCCTCGTTCTGCCGGGTGTTCCAGGAGTGTAGGCGGATTACGTCAAAAAGCGACAACAGCATACTGTAGCAAACAACGATTTGAAAACAACAGAGATCCCGGAAATGAAGAGCACACATCCATTAGCATGATGTATAGGACGACGCCAAAAAACCTATCGTCCCGCTGCACGCAGGCTTGGTTCAAGACTAGCACTGGCCGCTTTGATGTTTTTTTCACCACAAGCATACTGCTCCATCCAATATCGCGCAGTTTTCAATAACACTAATGATAATGGAAGCCACTGTGTAGCTCCGTTTGTATAAAAGAAGGCATCAAGGAAGAAAAGAGCGAATAGTTTTGCTGGTAGAAAAATAAGTAAGAGAAAGAAAGATAGGACAAAGTATTGCTGTTGAATCAACTATTTGCCTCTTCTAGAACCACGACCTCGCGTCATCTTCCCCGTGTCCTTCCCTAGAGAGCTTTGGCTCTTGGTTAATTCAGACGGACCTGAAGGAATGAACGTCATAACAATCTGATGACCGGGTGGAACACCAAAACCAGCATCTTGGATCATATTTGTAAGATTTTGCGAACACAACTGCAAAAGTAAAGATTCTTTTTTACCTTTCATTCCCTTTACTGCGGCTTCAATAGCTTTTTTCGAAGGAACTCTTCCGCCAAATACAGCATCTGCTGCTGGAGCATTGCCATCCTTGCTCTTGTTCTTCGGCGTAGCTTTCCTCTGCGTTTTGTTGGCTCTCGGTCGTCCAGCGGGCAATTTCTTCCCGATTCTTTTCTTCACAGCCACTGCTGCTTTTTGGGCCTGCCTTTTGACTTCTTGGTCTATTTGCATATCGGTTGCCTTTTTGGTCGTGCTAATACCTCTCTTTGCTTTGATTGCAGCATCTCTTTTCGCACGGCCCGTGGCAACAGAACGGACGGCTTGTTGTACCTTTTTTGGCGCTCGATTTCCTTTATTTTCAATCTTTCTGCGGTCTCTTATCATGTCTTCTTCTCATATTAGTGTGTGGATCGCAAGAGTGAGAATACAGTCGTTGAATTTGTTTCTCGTGACTTGGCACGCTGCGGATGATGTTCCAAGAACCACTCAATCACATACCAAGAGATTTCGACATTGAACTGTCGCCTGGAAGCTTAGAGCTCCCAACAGAGAAACCTTTGCCGTCAGGAACAATCAAAGTCATCTTTCATTCAAATACAATACCAGGTAGTATTCAGCGGGAGAAAATTTGGTGCTATTATTCCTTGCACGTAAAACTTTTTGGCGGAGCGACCGAAGGTCGCGAAGCCCATGATCAGATGGCCAAAGGACCCCGGATATACAATACACTATTACAAATCATTCAACACCATAAAGCACTTGTTTTCACCAGGTTCCTCATAGCGAACAAGAAACGAAACCGAGAGCAGGAGACAAAGAATAGATTGATGATGAAAGCTGCCTGAGGCAGTTAGCACTTATGATGTGTTTTTCTTCTAATCCAACGTAGCGAAGCCACAGCCGCAAGCGAGGAGTCGGACCCCAAAACCAAGCCATCAAATGACAAAAGACAAGATTTAAACTGAAGCAGAGGAAGAAACATACGTTTCGCCAACAATCTACCGCCGTGGGGGCTGAAACGAACGAGCTGGATACTACTGGAGTCAGTGGGGGAATAATATTGTTTTGCTATCTCCTTGCTCGTTGGCTTCGAAGATCTGAACTCTACCCAGCTGACCGTATAGAAAGGTTACGAAAGAAATAGAGAAGAAGAATTCCAGATTCCGGTGGCCATGAATACTTCAAATGACCACCGTAGGAAAGTGAACGTACAAAGTACGAAGC